CCCCAAAACCCCAAAACCCCAAAACCCCATGGACTACTTATTTAATTGAAAATGGAGGGGCTACATACCGAGCTTGAGCCAGGGAATGATGTTGATTTTATAGTAGGGCATGAGCAACTACCTCATAATCCTGAAGATCCTCTGCTTTGTACCAAATATTTCAGCTATGACCACACGGGCAGTGAAAAATCAATCAGACTGAATCTAAAGGGCCTAACTCGTGACTCTGATGGAGCAATCTTTGTGTCAACAACACAGCAAAAGCCTTCGTATACAACTTCTAAATGGAAAGGAACAAAGTATGGTGCTAAACATCTTGAGATTCACACTTGAGATGGAGACTACAAGCAAGGAATCTACTACGTTGCTGTCAGTGGCAATAGGAAAATGAAGAATGAGCTCAGGCTATCCTTAACTCTGATAGAGCCTATCGAGATTACTCAGATTGACGAAGGAATAATTGAAGGAGAGATTGGGATAGGAGAGAATTCCATCAAGCATCACTTTTTCCAAGTTAGAAAGATCGATAATCTCAAGCTAGAGATTCATATATCTCCTGGATTTCCCAAATGTGTTGCCTATTTATCCAACAAAAATGCCCATTTGCCTATTAGGGAATGAGACTGGGCAGTTGGGCTTTTTAAGAACGATGAACTTTCTAAAGACATATATAAGAATTTTGAAATTTGAAATCCTTTCTATGTAGATCATGATTCCAAGAAAGTGAGGTATGACCCAACCCTCAGATCAATCAGCACCGAATTTGGTGATCTTTCTACTTTAGAGCTTGTAAAAATTAGGCATCGATCAACTCTGAAGCTGAAATTGCTTAACGAATATGAAGAGAAAAAGCGAAACGAGGAGGAAGACAAAGAGCAAGAATACCTCCCTCTAGCTCACAAATGCAAGCAATTTGAGGTATCTGAAGAAACAATCGACAAAAATATGGATGCTGTTATAAAATAACTTGAGGGAAGATTTGATCGAATTAAACCAGAGTGGTGACAACACTCCAAAGTGACCATATATCGTCTGCCTCGATGTAGATGCTTTCAAATTTTCAAAGGGCTTTTGCTACTTAACTTTGGAAAACCTCTCAGGGGAGGAGATGCCTTACAAGATTGAAATCATAGAGAAACATGAGTTTGATATCTGAGATAAACACACTCAGAAGTTGAATCAGATCCATAACCATATTTTCTCTCAGGTGAATCCCTCACAAGTTTCACATAAGGAGCGGGAGAGGCTAAATTTGAATTATTTGAGTCAATATACTTACGGAGAAGTGGAATTCAGACATTTTTATCCAGTTCTAAACATCATCAAGCCTAAGAAAGGCGAAGTGTTCTGGGACATTGGCTGTGGAGCATGCAAGCCAATGATCATAGCAGCCATGTGCTTCCCTGTCTTGAAAGCAGTCAAAGGAGTTGAGTATGTAGACGGGGTTTATGAGCTTGGTAAGCAAAATATTGAAATTTTGCACGAAGAAATGAGCAAGAATGAAGGGCTCGAGTATTGCAAAAATATTGAAATCCAACATGGTGACTTATTAAAGACAGATTGGAGCGATGCAGATATCCTTTATGTCTCCTCTGTCTGATTTAGCGATGAAATGCTTGAAGGTATTAATGAGATGTCCAATGATTGTAAAATCGGATCCAGAATGATAACCTTGAAATTACTCCCTGAAAATCCGAACTGGACAAAGCTAAGAACATTCAGGTAAGGCTTTTATTGAATTCTTTTAGAGCGAAGATGTCATGGGGACCTTCAGAAGTGTACATATTCCAAAAAACCACTTAGTTCAGTTAAGGTTTAGATAAAAGGGGTTTTGGGGTTTTGGGGTTTTGGGGTTTTGGGG